GCTCATGGTTCCCAGAGACTCCAAAACCCCTCAATTAAGGAATATACCTTAAACTATGATAGGAACCCTAGTATATTTTAAGGTATATTCCTTAATGAAGGAGTTTTGGAGTCTCTGGGTTGTGGGTTTAGGGCCGCTAAGGGCTACTTTCAGGGTCATTAGAGGAGTTCTCTAGGAATTACAGATTTCTATGAGGCTTTATGGTTTCGAGGTCTAGAGTCTAGAGTTGTAGGTTTAGGATTAGGGCTTGGGGGCTTGGGGCTTGGGGCTTAGGGCTTGCGGTTTAGGCTTCCGGGTTCAAGGCTTAGGGTAGGAGCTTAGCCTTTCACAGTTTCACTTCAAGCCTTCAGAGTGCGGAGGTTCAACTTCAGGACTTTGGGATAGCACAGGGGTCTTAACAAGTAGAACTGAGGTTTTAGAATTGGGGTTTGTGGAGGAACCCGAAGGAAAAATGTAGATTGGAACAGGGTTTGGGCTTTGGGAGTATAAAAGATACTACAGCTATGCTACGGAAACTCAATATTCATTCTTCTATATGGGTAGTTCTCTAAATTAGGGTCCCTTTTTAGGTCCCAAACATAGTACGGCACCCTTATAAAAAGGACCCTAAACGGGACCCTAATTTAGAGCACTCTTCTATGTGATCCGGTGTGCAGCTGGCACCTGCAGCTGAAAGGGCATTGGGCTGCCGTCCTCCTCTAGCGGGTTGGTCTTGCCGGACATGCTTGCCCTCGAGATACACAGCCGCATTGGCATTGGGTGTTCGTCATCCTCGCTGCAGTGCTGGGGTTTCAATACTTTTTTGGGGGGAAGACAGACCTTCTCTGATTAGAATCGGGATTAAGGGCACATTATGTCATAGTAAACTTTACCCAACAAAAACTTAAAACTAAAACCTGCAACCTAAGACCTACCAATGCTTAGATTAAAGAACCGTAAAGCATCAAATTGGCAACTGTTCCGGCCCCTATGTTGGGGCTTCGGAGTTGTCAGTTTACGTAGAGGTTCCTGTTACTTAGTAACCAGAGTTAGAAATGAGGCTACCCCCAAATAAGGTGCGTGTAATTACTTGTACTTACTAAGTCCCATGAACCTCCAAGTGGACCCTAGTTATGTCCCATGAACCTGTAATAGGTTTTTAGGGCTTAGGGTTCAGGGCAGGGAGCTTCAGCCGCTTTCAGGTACATTGACTAATTCTTGCCATGCCCTTATAAGCCTGATAAATGCCTAAATACGACTCATGGTGTAAATCCTGCATTACCCATCATGATAGGGAAATAGACCGTAATTCCTAGAGTTTAGGGTCCTTCAGGTAATACAGGATTTATATCATCAACAGTAGTTAGATATTGTTCCTGAAAATCCGGGCCTACCCTAAACCCTAAACCCTAAACCCTAAACCCTAAAACCCTAAACCCTAAACCCTAAACCCTACAAACCCTAAGGCCTACTAATTCGTGCTTCCGCACTCAGAGTCATCGAGTCCGGAGACGAGATCGGCTCCAGGTTCGGGTTTAGGGTTCAGGGCTTAGGGTATTAGGGGACAATTTGTGGAGTGCCTTACATAACTCCTTCGCGTTTAGAGTTTTTGAGTGTAGTCACTAAACACTACAGTCCCATCACACCCTCAACCTTGCTCTAATAACATGCTGCGAGCTCTAGCACATTGAGAACCCCTATTTCAACAACTCTCTGAATTCAAAAGCTGCCATGTGCTGCACCTTAACATCTGGACAAAAAAACTCTCGCCTTGTAAAACAGAACGACGCCTTACAAGACCAAACTTGGGGGTCTTCTTGGAGCTCAAGGTTTCCATTGGGATCCCTTACATTCTGAAACTCCCACTTGCAACGAGGCATCGTCGGGGTTTGTCTTGGAAGACAACGTCTTTCGAAAGAGCAGCGACGGCAATCGTGGCTCGGCTGGTACTGCTGGCGCATCTGTCTGTGTAGAAGCTTCTTGTATCCTGGTCAGGCAGCAACAGTAGCAGTCGCCTTGATGACTGTGGTCGCGATACTGGTAATTGTAGTAGTACCCTAAACCCTGAAAACCCTACACCCAACTGTAGGAGTAATAGCAGTAGCAGTCGCAGAGAAGATGTGGCCTGGGGCCTCGGCAGCGGATAACATAGAAAGATTTTCATAACTGCAGCAGGAGTAACAATAACATCCTCACAGGGTTTAGGGTTTAGGGTTTAGGGTTGTCATGTTATCATATTCCTCAAAATCGTCATGGCCATGACCATGGTCATGATATGGCAATGGCTACACCTATCATGATCTTGGTGTTGAAGACGATGACGAGGAAAAAGGAGACCATACTATAGTAGATTATATTATACTATAATAGATTATGTGTATATATATATATAGATAGTATACCATAATCTACTATAATACTATAAGCAGAGGAGGTGACAGTACCGAAGGCCGCGCTGAAGATGCTGACGGCCCAGATGGCGAGGACCCAGAGACTCCAATATCCCTTAATTAAGGAATTTACCTTAAATCGTATTAGGGATCCTACTATAATTTAAGGTATATTCCTTAATTAAGGGATATTGGAGTCTCTGAGGAGAAGGCCAACAAGGCAAAGAACAGAAAAATAAGACAGAGCATCAGTTCGTGCTAACAGCACCACCATGTCAAAGACACGCAAGAAGCTTTGCTAAAATCATGGCCGTAACTAACCCAAAATTCTAAACCCCTAAACCCTAAACCCTAAACCCCAAAATCCTAAACCCTAAACCCAAAAACCCTAAACCCCAAAAACTCCTTCGTGCCCTGGGCTTTGGGACGGCGCTGGCAGCCTTGGGCGCCACTTTCGGCTTCGCCTCGGAAAACCGAGGCTCCACATTGATGCAGGATTTAGGGTTTAGGGTTTAAGGGTTTAGGGTTTAGGGGTTTAGGGTTTTAGGTTTTTAGAATTTAGGGTTTAAGGGTTTAGGGTTTAAGGGTTTGCGGTTTAGGGCTTTAGGGGTTTAGGGTTTTGGGTTTAGGGCTTTTAGGGTTTAGAATTTAGGGTTTAGGGTTTACGGTTTAAGGTTTAGGGCTTAAGGGTTTAAGGGCTTACGGTTTAGGGTGTAGGGTTTAGGGTATAGGGACGAATGTAGGGGCCCTCAAAAAAGTACAACAAGGTTTTGACGCCCACAAGGCTAGAAGTGGCTTAGGGTTCAGGGTCTAAGGTTCAGGGTTTAGGGGCGAGAGCGTTTTTTTTGTTGACCTCTTCGTTTCTTCTCGGTGCTTGCCCTGCTCGAGTCGGGCGAAACGAAACAGACCTCGCGCGAATGCAAGCGCTGGGCCCAGGAGTTGCGTACCAAAGTCTCTAGATTGCTTGAAGCGTGCGGGGTTCGGGGGAAAGCCTCTGGCTGCCAGAAACGATTCAAACGCCTGCTTCAACCTCTTTCCCGACTGCAGGTCTGGCCAAGGCAAATGTCACCGGCCACAGCTGCGAGAACAGCAACTGCGCAAAGACATTTAAACAAATCGCACGCGCCAAAAACGCTGTCCAGCATATTAGCAAATAAAGCCCTGCTGCACCCTCTAAGGATCTAAGGGAAACATCAAAGTAGAAACATCAAATTCCACTGATCTACACAGAATAGCTGTATCGTCGTAGTAGCAGCATCAGCAATGGTGTTACTTGTCGTCATCTTCCTCGCTGTGGTGCAATGCTAGTGCTTGCCGTGGTTTCCGCGATAGTAAAGTCATGATTGTGACAAGCGGCAGCAGCAGCAGCAGCAGCAAAAGACACAACAGAACATACACATTGGCAGTGGTTCACAACCATGGTTGCAAATCATCCCAAATCATTTACCGCTTAGAAACATACCTCCGGTAGGGTACGAGGCGTTAGCATGATGACAGCTGTGCCGTTGCCAAACCATGCACATGCCGATTCGTCGTGAGCTTCGTGATAATTTCACATACCTCTCATGATCAGACAAACCCTAAACCCTAAACCCTAAACCATCACTGATGTTGGTAGCACTTGAACCAGGCTGTGCTGACCGTTAGGGCCGATGCTTCTGTCTAGTCCTGTCACTTGATTACCTGAAGCCCTCTTCTAACACCCTTACAGATCTCTCGCAGGATCTTTTGCAGGAACAGTTATAAGTTATGGGGGGTTTCGAAAATAGGGGACCCTAGTATAGTACCCCAAATAGTAGGATCCTTATTATAAGGACCCCAAAATAAGGTTCCCTAATTGTCGGAAAGCCCCTTATGGAACCCTACAACCTTGGACCGCGCGGCCCTGGGGGGACTCAGGCGGTCCCTGGCCGTGGCCGCCCGGGGACGGGGCGGCACCGAGGACATGGCTGTGAGGGGCACGGAAAGCACTCGAAATCTCCCAATAAATACCTAAACCCTAAACCCCAAACCCTAATGACTGTCGCAAGTACCCGCAACCGAAAAATAAGAGTAGTAGTAAGAAGAAACAGTCACATGCACACTACTGAACATGTTGCAATGCTGCATCGTAGTAACCGTATACATTGTCGCGAATGTAATTCCCAAGTTGAACAGTGCAGAACACCCTCTATGTGTACCATACGTGCTTAGTACTCTCACTTTCGTTCGTATGAGCATAAGACATTTCACCTTGGACCCCAACATCTAGGAGCCCCCGAAGACGAAAACCGTCGAGCCTCCGCTGCGGCAGGGTGAAGAGGTCAAGGTTCGCTGCTGGACTTTCTCATTCTATTCCTGCTGTTTTCATTTCTGCCACGGCAGCGCTGCTACTGTTGCCACCCAGCCCACACTCCGAGCCTGAACCTCAAATCCCAGATCAAAAAGTCCACATACTCCCAACCCACACTTAGCACGTGCCACACATAAAGCCCCTACCTTGCCCAACCTTTGAGCACAGACAGCGTTCTTAGCCCCAATTCTTACACCCACCTGCGGCATCCTAGCCCCTATCCGCAAATCCCGAGACCCTAACCTCAAAACCCTAAACCCTTAAACCATAAACCCCTAAACCCTAAAACCCTCTTTTCGTCACGTCAGCATCCCGAGATCGTAGCACTGCGCTAGGCCGATCAACTGCCAAGGAGGCCGAAGGGCCCTCCACTCCCTGTCCCGTGCATGAAGGCAATGCCACCTCTCGGTTTAGGGTTTAAGGGTTTAGGGTTTAGGGGTTTAGGGTTTAGGGTTTAGGGACTATGTTAGGGTTTCGGGTTTTAAGAGATTTTGGGTTTTTGGTTTTAAGCACCTTTTTTCCACCTTGCAGTTAAGGTCGCCGAGATTTTGGGGTTTAAGGCTTAGGGTTTGGAGAAGAAGGTTTAGGCCTTTCGGCTCACTGAAGCTGCGGATAAGGGTTTATCGTTGGGGGTTGGGGATGCAGGACTTGGATTTAAGCTCCAGGTTTGAAGACTAATGCTAAGGAGTTTTGTGATATACATATAAAAATAGAGGTATACATGTTATCTTTATTGTTGTGTGTATATATGTACACACTCACGTACATGTCTGCATGTGCAGGCAGCGACTGCGGTTCAGGCGCCTCGCCATCGGGAATTGGCTTTCGGGTTGAGTTTGGGCACTCTGAAGCCAGAAGGCCCTCTAAGCGGTGCTTGTTGGATCTCGTACAATCTACATCAGCCCTTCGAGAACCCTTGTAGAGCCCTTCTAGACCCCTGATAGTGCCCCTCTAGAACCAAGTATTTAAGCCCTAAAACAACCCCTTTAGAACCCTTACAAGTAAATTAGTAAAGCCCTCCTGTTAGAACCTTTGTAAAGCCCTTCTAGAACCCTTATAGGACTCCTCTAAAGCCCTTCTAATCCTTAAAGCCGTTAATATGACCTTTTAGCAAATCCAGAGAGCCCAATATCTCTTAACTAAGGTATATAGCATAAACAATAGTATCAGGCCTCTCACAATTTCATGTCTACTCGTGAATGCAGTGGCATTGGGGTTTAGGGTTTAGGGCTTTCTGGAAAACCTGAAACCTAAACCCCCAAACCCCCAAACCCTCAACCCGAAACCCTAAACCCCTCAACCCCAAAAGCCCTAAAACCCCTACAACCCTAAACCCTTAAACCCCCTAAACCCCAAAAAAACCCTAAAAAACCCTAAAACCTCAAAAGCCCTAGACCCTTAAAGCCCCAAAAGCCCTAAACCGGCCCCCACCTCTCTTCCAGGCCCTCGGCATCTTTGGAGGCGAGCTCTCGCCAGCTTCGGAGCTGCTGCTCGGAGGGCCGAAGCTTCAGACTCACGTGCTGGGGCCTTAGAAAGATCGGGCTTCGGGCTTTTAGGGCTTTTTAGGGTTTAGGGTTGAGGGGGGCCTTAGAAAGATCGGTTTCAGGGTTTAGGGCTTTTTTAGGGCTTTTAGGGTTTAGGGTTGAGTGTGGGGCCTTAGAAAGATCGGCTTTAGGCTTTTAGGGGTTTTAAGGTTTAGGGTTGAGGGTTGAGTGTGGGGGCCTTAGAAGATCGGTTTAGGCTTAGGGTTTAGGGTTTAAGGTTTAGGGTTTAGGGTTGAGGGTTTTGGGCTGCTGGTGGGGCCTTAAAGATCAGTTTAGGGTTTGGGGCTTGGGTTTAGGGTGTATATGGGGTTTAGGAATCAGAAAAAAAAAGAAAGTGCCTTTTTTTGGGTGCTTCTCAATGAAAGGCTTCAGTGGCGGGGCTTTAAAAGGAACGAGGTGTTGTGTTCTGCAGCTTAAGATTCGGAGGTCATAGGGTTTAGGGTCTAGGGTGTATGGTCTAGGGCTTAGGGTTTAGGGTCCAGGGTTTAGGGTTTAGGGTCTAGGGTTGAGGTTTGGGGCTTAGGGTTGTAAACGGATCGCCTTGAGGTTTCTGGGCTTCGTCAAAGTCAACGGGAGGCTCCGGAGGGGCCTGCAGTAAAAGACTCTGCGGATTTCTGCGGTTGACCGCCTGGGATTTAGTTTAGGCCAGGGTGTCGGGGCCTCGAAGAATCCCCTGAAACTTCTTCGGAATGAGAGACTAATGCAAGAACGTGGCTCAAATAAAAACTTTAGAGCTTTGAGTATGGACTTCGGTTGTTGATCCAGTTTGAGGGTTCAGGTTAGAGTTTGATTGCACAAGCAAGCGGCTGCTGGCAACACGTCCTGACAAAGTTCTGGGCCCCACTGCAGTGCGTGTCCACAATGCGCTCCCGCTCGTGAACATAATCACCTGGATATTTTGGCAGGCCCAGCTTACCCCGCTGACGGCGACATTTCCCATGGCGCCGCCACAAACCGTGGAGACACCAAAGATCTCCGCCAAATTCCAGCAAGTCCGGGCGGCAACAATACGCCGGTACGTGTTCACAGCCAGTCACCCGCAGATACGGTTCCTGGCTCACCTCCCAGGTGCCTCCTTGATGCCAGACTTCTGCAAAGAGGAAGGAAAGTCGATCCGGCCATGCAAGGTGGTCGGCCACCGAGGTCATGTATCGGATGCAGAGGCCAGCAGATCGCAGCATCTGAAGCAAGAAGCGCTCGTAATTCAGGGGCTGCGAGGCAGCAGGCGAAGTCCGCAATCTTGCAAAACCTTGGTTCTTGTTAAAGGATCTTTTTTAAGTTACCATAACAGGCATCTATAGCAAAATACCATGGCTTCCTTATTAAGGCAACTTAAGTTTAAATCCTAGAACAAGAGCCCAGAAACGGTTCACCTCCTCAAGGAGCTTCCATGAGTTCAGGGTCTCCACGAACGCTTCCATCACCGGCGCCCCGGCTCTCTCCATGAGGAGGTATCGGTCGTTGATCCTAGGCTCCCCAGTAACCCCTTAATAATAAGGGTACCCTTTTTTCCTAATATTCGGCTTTAATAAGGAGACCCCCCAAATAAAAAGGACAAAAGGGTACTACTGGGGAACCTAGGATCCCGGAGTACTCATGAGAGTCGAGGGACCAGATCGTCGGAAGGCCAGGGCACCTGGAAGTTGGTGCTCAAACATATCAAGTCGTCCTTAGGACTTTAGGGTATACAGGTTTGAGATTTTCGGTTTCGAGCTTAGGGTTTAGGGGTTTAGGGTATACGGGTTTGGGTTTAGGGGTTTAGTCGGTTTAGGGTTAAAGAGTTTAGAACTTGTGGAGCTTGACATACATGCTCACCCGCTTCCGACGCAGCATCCAAGAAGGATGACTGAAGAGTCTTCTTTTTGCAATTGGCTCCACAGGCTCGCATTCATTCTTGGGGCACAATTAAGCGGAAATCCGCGCACCAAAAAAAGCTGAAGAATCTAAGCCCTGCAAAAGGCGTTTTGAGCCCGACCTGCTCGCATCCAACAAGGTCACGCTCGGATGTGAAGCTGTCCAGGCATGATCCACGCGAGTGAATGCGACATAATCGTACTGAAAGCCCCTGTTGCCTCGAGTCTCTCAGGGTCTCAGGGAGTCAAATAACGAGGACAAGAGCACCATAGACACTCGAATCATTGATATCAGGGTACAAAAATTAAATCAAAAAACATAATAACAATAATAATAACAACAATAACAATAATAACAGTAAGAATAGTAATAATAATAGCAACATCACATCAACATCATCGGCAGCAATGTCAAAACGACGACAGCAGAAGCAGCAGAAACAAGACACCCAGTTTGAAACAGCTGCCAAGTAAGTCCATTTGCCTTCAATGTCACGAAGTGCCTGCATGCAATGAGCCCATTGACGATTCATGGGCTGATTCTTAAAAGGCCGCCCACGCCTGGCACGGCCTTGCCAAAGGTATGGTAAGTACGATTTGTTCTCCGTGTGCCCGCGGTGAAGGAGTCCAAGCCAACCTGCACCACATACTACTGTGAATAAAGACTCCAGGTTTGTTACAAAGACCTCATAACAATCCTAAGGGAACCTCTAACTAATTCATGGGATCCTTATCATGAGGGCACCAGTACCCTCAAAAACAGAAACCAACAATAACGTATGCCCCCGAGGTCCTAAACCCCCAAACCATACAAGCCGAAAACCCGGAGACTCTGAGACCCTAGACATCACAAACCCCGAAAACACAGCATGCCCTGGCAACCCCTAAACCCAAAAACCCTAAAACCCTAAAACCCTAAAACCTTAAAAGCCTAAAACCTTAAAACCCTAAAACCCTAAACCCTAAACCCTAAACCCTAAAACCCTAAAACCCTAAAACCTTAAAACCCTAAAACCCTAACCCAAAAACCCTAGAACCCTAAACCCTAAACCCCAAGCCCCAAACCCCAAAACCCTAGAACCCTAAACCCTAAACCCTAAACCCCAAACCCCTAAACCCTAA